TAAATAATTTTATGGACTGCTTCACAAATTTGCATCATCCTTGCACAGGGGCCAGGCTGATCTTCTCTGTATCATTCCAATTTTAGTATATGTGCTGCCGAGGCCAGCACAGATAATATATTCTTAACTTGTTTTAGTGCTAAACATCTATGATAAAGACAAAATTGCACTTCTCTTTGTATCTATCTGATCCAATTAAACTTTGGCATGGATAATTCTGAGGCATAGAATTATTTCATGGTGCTTTAATTTACCAGATAATTTGATAGGTTTGAACTAAATGATGTGCCTTTCACTCTTTTGATAAACCATTGCATTCTGTGTCCCAAATATCTACATCCTTTACAGGAATCATGTGGCTAGATGCAGCTTTTATGCTCCTTTATAATTTTTTTTTATAATTTTCCTTTCAGTGTCAAAATAAACATTAGCATCAGTCATTCTATTCTGAGTGACTCTTTTAAATTAAAAATTAACAGAAAACCATGCCAAATAATTTTGTGCTATGATTTTTGGGTTATAGCTCTGAAAATGCCTCACCTGATTGAACATGAATTTACTAGCATTTTCAGTGAGAGGAAAACAAGAGAAAGAAAGGAAGGCATATGAGATTAAATCAGATGCCACAGGATCCTTATTGAAAAAGATTTATGAGCAACTGGATACAAGGGGCAGGTTTTCTTCTTTCTTTAATCCTAGACCGCACTCTATAGATTGGTATAGTTCATTTTTTCTGCTGAGCCCTTTCTAGTATAGGGCCACTTAATCTTCTTGTGTAACAATTCATGTGAGTGGGTAGTAAAAAAGTTTGATTTTGTTTATCTTCCTATTTGTGGGAGGAGAACACTGGAGAAAAACCAGTGAAGTGGTAAATGTGTTGAAGTTATTTATGAAGCTGATTAGAATTTTTCGTTGCTTCTTTTTCTTTCTCTTTCATCCTTGTAAAATGTAATGCCTTATCCTCTGCCCAGTAATTATACATGCCTACATGAAGGGGATTTATGGGGAAAATGAGTTGTTACTGGGAGGGGTAAACAAACCCATGCTAAGGGTTATTCATTTAATTTTATAACTATGCAAAATTTTTCAAAAAATAAATCAAAATAAATGTGAGTAGAGCTGGATTAAAGAATGGACTATTGAAAATAAACCTGAGAAACAAACTAAAATAGTAGCAAAAGTAATTTGAGAGCTGTGAGAGATTATTATTGACTAAAAAGATAGGTTGGTTTCCCTAAAGATTAAAAAAGTAAAATAGACACCTTGCCCTGTATTGGATAAAGTGGAATAAATGAGTTTAATGATTTTTTTTTAAGCCTTGCTATAGCAATAACCGACTCATAGTAAGTGTAACTACGGTCCCAGTAGCACTGGACAGTGACAGCTAAGCCGAGACCTGAAAGATTAATAGGGCTAAGTGTGGAGTGTTTGGTGTGGGAGGAGGAGACGTAGAGTTTCTGGGCAAAGGAAGCATTTTCAAAAGCCTGGAGGCAAGGTAGTTTTGGAAACTGAGCTGGGAAGCTGGGAATAGTGGCAAGAAATGAAAGTGGAGAGAGAAGATGGAACCAGATAATGAAGGGCCTCCTAAACCATGCCAGGGTGTTTGGAGTTTACCCTGAGAGCAGTGGGAGCCACTGAGGGTCTTTGTGTAAGAGCAGCTGGGATCTCGCTTACCCTGCTCTGGGGCAAATGGATTGAGGAAGGCAAAAGACAGTCCACTGAGAATTTAAGGCACTAAAAGGGTCACTAAAATCTTCAAAGTCTGCGTTACATTTCATATATTATTAAGTATATTTAGTAGAATCTGATTCCTTGAATATTAATATGTGATTGACCAAAACGCTGTGTTCAGCCACCACACTGGAAAGCGTGGACAAGCTGCATTATAAAGTCGGGGCTAACACACACATTGGTCTTATTTTTAACCTCTTTTAATCATGGATTCTAACTACGTAGTTTTTTATTTTTTTTTCTTTTCAGAATTAAATGAGAAAGCTTTTCACTTAACCTTAATTTTTTTTCTACAAATCAAAATACTTTGAAGTCAATGAAGCCTAGGGTTTGATTTTTTTATCTTTATCTCTTTTCCTAAAAATTCCCAAATATATTTTAAAAACTTTTTTTGAGAAACTCTTGAGTTCAGCTTTCT